ATTTGAAAACTGCCAGAACAGGACAACAGCTGGCCTGGCTGGTAGAGGACATGTAAGCTGAGCAGGTGCACTCAGAGAGAAAGCAGGCAAGCAATCCGAGGCTGGCAAGGAAAACTAAAAGATACAAACTGTTAAAAATCCTTATCCAACTTCCCAGTTTTGAAGAACGGTTGCGAATATGTTTGGTCATGCTATTTTTTTTTACTGGAAAATAAACCAAATGAATAAACCCCAATTTAAAAGTCAAATTATTATAAAGAATCTCTCAGCAGCAGGCAATGCAGTAGTTCAGTATCATCTAGCATCACTAGTTCAGTGATGGAGAGAGGGAAACATCTCTTTGCATGTAAACAATAAGAAAAGCTCTGGACCACAGTTTTACCAGCAAAGGAAAAAAACCACCAATGGGTTACATTAAAGCGAGAGTTCGTCAGGGGGAACATAGAGTCTCTGTGTTTTCCTCTTTCTGATAGCATATATAATATTGTATACCATTTCCCTTCAGCTGCAACTCAAGCCTTTCAACAGTGTATACATTTTCTATAACCTTGTTTTAACAGTTCCTTTCAGCTTTTAGTTTCATCCATCACATATAAGACACCAGCAGATGTAAGGGGTCACACCTTGATGGGTTTTCTCACCCTCTCAGTGGTGTTAGAGGCTCTCCATTGGCAACAATAAAGCTGATTGTGGAGCTGCCTTATAGGGTGATTCTCAACTGAGAGCTACAAGCTTCTCACTGCCATGTTTGGCTCGGGGAACAGCGCGTTATCATCGACTGTTTTAGAGGTTAGATGCAGAAATCTGATTGACGCCTCCGGTTCTGTAGGGAGCTCGTCACACAAAGGACTGTAAAGCTGGAGCTGATGGTGATCTGGAGGCACCTCAGGCCAGGTCAAAACTCTGTAAGGATGGACAGAAGGACTACTCTTTCTCTCTCATTCTCTCTCTTCCTGCCTGTTTGTCCTTCATGTTCAAATGTTATCATTTCTCTACACATCTCTCTGTTGGCTGTTCTTAGATGGATGGCATGCTGAGCTGCTCCCACTATCACCTCAGCTCCCTCCTTATGTTTTTCTATGCCCTTTCATTCCTCCTCATTGTGGCTGCTTTCATGATCATTAATCCACAAAAGATAAAATATAATGTCTTCCAATTCCTCTATTTGTTGTAGATCAGCGATGTAGCTCAACAATAATTATTCACTCAATATAAAAAAGAAAAAGCTAATTTAGTTGAATTTCTTTAGAAAAGGGATCTGGAAATCCTCTAAGATGTATATATGATTATAAACGTTTGCTAGAATAAAATGAAATTCAGCATTTAATGTGACTTTACCAGGTCCTTACTTCTTCACAAAAACAAAGAAAAACAAACAAAAATAAGAAGGGAAGGCAGCGCATCCATATCAAGTCCAGTACCAAAGATAGAATAGAACTAATTTTTACAAAATTTCCCAGAGTTTACCACATATTTCCTTAAGAAAGCTTTGCCTGTCATAAAGTCTGATTTAACTCAAATAATAAACACGTCCCTTTTGGCAGGTGTTTTTCTCCAGCCTCTACAAACACCAATTATCAAAGCACAGTTGAAAAACAGTAACTTAAAAAAGCTGGAACTGCAGAACTACAGGCCTATCTCAAACCTTCTGTTTATCACTAAGATTATTGATTCCTGCTCACTAGCACTTGTCAAGGTGTTTAATGACAAGATCAATCTTTTTAAATCCAGGCTGTGGAAGAACTACAGTGCTGGTATTACTGGACCTTAATGCAGTCTGTCAGAATCCCAAAATCCTGCTGCGAGCATCCTCACTAAAACTGAGAAAGTGGAGCACATCCCCCCATGTCTGAAATCCTTTTTGTCTCTCAGAGAATAGACTTTCAAATATTTCTGTTAGTCATTGAATAAAATAGCTCCAACTCAGACTTTTTATCTATGTATACAGGTGCTGGTCATAAAATTAGAATATCATGAAAAAGTAGATTGATTTCAGTAATTCCATTTAAAAAGTGAAACTTGTATATTATATTCATACATTACATACAAACTCATATATTTCAGATGTTTATTTTGTTTAATTTTGATGATTACAAATGACAACAAATGAAAATCTCAAATTCATCATATCAGAAAATTAGAATATTGTGAAAAGGTTCAAAATTGATGGCCCCTGGTGCCACACTCTAATCAGCTAATTAACTCAAACCACCTGCAAAAGCCTTTAAATGGTCTTTCAGTCTAGTTCTATAGGCTACACAATCATGGGGAAGACTGCTGACTTGACAGTTGTCCAAAAGACGACCATCGACACCTTGCACAAGGAGGGCAAGACACAAAAGGTCATCGCTAAAGAGGCTGTTCACAGAGCTCAGTGTCCAAGCACATTAATAGAGAGGCGAAGGGAAGGAAAAGATGTGGTCGAAAAAAGTGTACAGGCAAGAGAGATAACCGCACCCTGGAGAGGATTGTGAAACAAAACCCATTCAAAAATGTGGGGGAGATTCACAAAGAGTGGACTGCAGCTGGAGTGAGTGCTTCAAGAACCACCACACACAGACGTATGAAAGACATGGGTTTCTGCTGTCGCATTCCTTGTGTCAAGCCACTCTTGAACCACAGACAGCGTCAGAAGCGTCTAAAGAGAAACAGGACTGGACTGCTGGTGAGTGGTCCAAAGTCATGTTCTCTGATGAAAGTAAATTTTGCATTTCCTTTGGAAATCAAGGTCCCAGAGTCTGGAGGAAAAGAAGAGAGGCACTTCATCCACGTTGCTTGAAGTCCAGTGTAAAGTTTCCACAGTCAGTGATGGTTTGGGGTGCCATGTCATCTGCTGGTGTTGGTCCATTGTGTTTTCTGAGGTCCAGGGTCAACGCAGCCACATACCAGGAAGTTTTAGAGCACTTCATGCTTCCTGCAGCTGACCAACTTTTTGGAGATGCAGATTTCATTTTCCAACAGGACTTGGCACCTGCACACAGTGCCAAAGCTACCAGTACCTGGTTGAAGGACCATGGTATCCCTGTTCTTAATTGGCCAGCAAACTCTCCTGACCTTAACCCCATAGAAAATCTATGGGGTATTGTGAAGAAGAAGATGCAATACACCAGACCCAACAATTCAGAAGAGCTAAAAGCCACTATTAGAGCAACCTGGGCTATCATAACACCTGAGCAGTGCCACAGACTGATCGACTCCATGCCACGCCGCATTGCTGCAGTAATACAGGCCAAAGGAGGCCCAACTAAATACTGAGTGCTGTACATGCTCATACTTTTCATGTTCATACTTTTCAGTTGGCCAACATTTCTATAAATCCTTTGTTTTTATTGGTCTTCAGTAATATTCTAATTTTCTGATATGATGAATTTGAGATTTTCATTTGTTGTCATTTGTAATCATCAAAATTAAACAAAATAAACATCTGAAATATGTGAGTTTGTATGTAATGTATGAATATAATATACAAGTTTCACTTTTTAAATGGAATTACTGAAATCAATCTACTTTTTCATGATATTCTAATTTTATGACCAGCACCTGTACTCTGCTTTCGGTGAACCAGAACAAAACATGGAGAAGCGGTGTTTACTTTTTAGGCTCTGTTCATCTGGAATAAATTCCCTGAAAAAATAAGAAAGTACTGAAACCCTAAGTTGCTTTAAAGTGGCCTTTGACTGTGCTATCTGTCATTATTTGTAAGTAAGTTTGCTGTCCAAAATTCTTTCCTTTTAAAATCAATCATTTTATTATTCTTTGTTATTATTATTATTATTATTATTATTATTATTATTATTATTATTATTATTATTATTATTATTATTATCCTGCATTCTAATTTATCTGTGTTTCCAATTATTTATAGTACTTTGAAAAGTCTTGCTGCTGAAATCTGCTATGTAAATAATCTAGCCTTGCCATTTTTCTTTTCTTTTTTTGGTGTCTTTTCAGCAACAATGACATCACCCCATTTAAGTCTACTATTTAATAATATCACTTTGATTATTTTTTTTGCCTTATTTGAAATTAAACTTTAAAAAAAGCAGAAGCAAAACTGTAATTAGTGAAAATCATGTGCTGAACTTGGCATTTTTCCTTTTATGAAAGATTCAAATTTTGTTCAGTTGTTTTCTAAAGAAATTTTGCACGGTAGTAATTTTTAATTCAGTATCTGTATGAAAGGCAAAGCTAACTTTAGCCATACTTGATCTCCGAGGGTCACAATTGGCCCCTGGGCCTCAACTAAAACGCACCTGGTGTAGATAAACATAACGCCCAAACACCTGGGCAATTGAAGAAATTAATGAAATAAATGTTTAAAAAAAAGAAGGTGAAACACGCTAGCTTAAAGTCTAACCTCAAATGTAAACAGCAGTAAACCTTTTGCTGTCTCTGTTCTCAGAAACAAGTGGTGAGTAAGAACTTAATTATCTGTGAATGTCAAAATTTTAGATTCCATATAAGGAAAAGAAAACGGTTTCGTGTTATGCAGTTTCCTTTTTATACCAAATTTGCCTTTTGGAATCATTTCCCAAAAGTATAGGATCCTTTAAATCAGACTGGACATTTTTGTTTATCTTTTTGCCACACATTAAAGAAAAGGCGTCTGTCCTTCAAGCCTAATTCTCAGCCCAGACATGTGAAGCACAGGGGAATATTTTATTATCAGGCAACTGACGGTCAGACATTATTTTGATAGTTATGAAAAGTCCTATTTTAGAAGTGTTGTATAGAACCCCCCTCTAAAAAGATCAATAATGCTCTCATGACTTTTTTTGTAAGCTACAAAAACTGTTTCTGTGTTTCCGTAAATGACTCCTAGCCTCTCTCGATCTCGCTCTCATGGGAAAAAGTTTGCTCTCATGCCAATGTATCCAGTCCCCATTTATTTCACAGGCCAAGAAGCTATTTTGAAGACATAATATGACAAGCGTCCATTTCACTGAACTGAAATGCAAACTAGTTATTTATATTTCTCTTTTTCCACTGTTTCATTCCAGGTGTGTCCTTGGACTTTGAGCAGAGATGGGGGACTGGTCTCTTCTTGGGAATTTCCTTGAAGAGGTCCAGGAGCACTCCACTTCCGTGGGAAAGGTTTGGCTCACCGTCCTCTTCATCTTCCGCATCTTGGTGCTGGGCACGGCAGCGGAGTCCTCCTGGGGCGATGAGCAGAGTGACTTCCTGTGTGACACTCAGCAACCCGGTTGCACCAACGTTTGCTATGACAGTGCCTTCCCTATCGCCCACATCCGCTACTGGGTGCTGCAGATCGTGTTTGTCTCCACGCCCTCCCTGATCTACATGGGCCATGCTATGCACATAGTTCGAAGGGAGGAGAAGAGGAAGAGGATTGAGCAGGAGGAGAGGGAGGCGAGGGAGGATGATGGAGAAGACCTGCAGAAGGAGAAGGAGTTCCTCCAGCAGAAGGAGAACAGGAAGGAGATAATATCTGAGGGAACTGGTGCGGTTCGATTAAAAGGAGCCCTGCTCCGCACTTACATCCTGAGTATCCTGATCCGAACAGTGATGGAGGTGACCTTCATAGTGGTGCAGTATCTAATCTATGGGGTGTTCCTCAAGGCGCTGTACCTCTGCAAGGCATGGCCCTGTCCCAACCCCGTGAACTGTTACATGTCGCGGCCCACCGAGAAAAACGTCTTCATTGTCTTCATGCTGGTGGTAGCCGGTGTGTCTCTTTTGCTGTCTGTGTTGGAGCTCTACCATCTTGGTTGGAAGAGCATTAAGGCTTGCATACGTAAAAGGATGGTAGAAAAGAACAACCAAAAAACCATGACCGTGGTTGTAAAATCCAGTAACCAGCCCCAACCTTCTGACTCCTGCACCCCACCCCCTGATTTCGAACACTGTCTGACACCGCAGGAGTCCATAAACCCCATGACCTCCATCGCCTCCCATCCTTTTAACACCAGGATGGCTCTGCAGCAAAACTCAGCCAACCTGGCAACTGAACGGCACCACAGTTGTGACAACCTAGAGGACGAGCAGGATTTCCTGAGGATCAGATATGAGCAGGCCCCTGCGGAGCTACCGAACGGCTGCTCATCGCTGATGCATTCAGGCTTCCTGAAGGACAAAAGACGCTTGAGCAGGACCAGCGGCACCAGCAGCCGGGCGCGCCAAGACGACCTGGCAGTATAGATGGTCTCAAAGAGAACCAAAATGAGGATAGAGCCATGACTTATAAGCACAACTCTAAAGCCTTGCAAAAATATCAACATCCCTTCAGCTTTTATTATATTTTTTCAAGTCAGAACCACAAGTTTTACAGTTTATCAAAGGTTATGGGGATCAACCAGCTTAAAGTGTTATTATAGGTGAAGGAAAATCAATCATTATTTGTATAGTCCTTTACAATAGCCAAATGGTACCCAAAGTGCTTTACAACAAAGCCATAAAACAATACATAACACATACAAAACATTAAATAGTTAAAACATTAAATAATTAAAAGTCTGAGGCGTGCATCATATTTACCTTCACAAAACTAGATGTTAAATTTTGTCCACTCCCCTTTCGTTAGGTAGCACATGCTATCAAAAAAGTGAATTTCAAAACAAGTTTTTAGGGATTCTCTATTAGGTCCTAATGCATCTCTAACTCTGTTTTGGTCCTTGCTTTTCATAATGCTAATTGTTCTTTTTTTTAAAGCAAACCTATGAGGCTCACATCACTTAAATTATAATGATATATTAAAGACGGATGGATTCTAGGATTACTTTAAAAAGCAGTTAATTGCTGGGTTTGCATTTTACAGTTAGAAAAATAAGAGAGGACACTTTTCAGAAAACGCTGAATCATTGTCATTTCACTACAAAAATTTCTGTAACATTGTTTTGGTCAATTGAAGTTTATGGTTTTAATGCAAGAACATGCGCATAAATCATCAAGGAGCTGAAGAATGTTTTGGCAGGATGTAAGTTTAATAGCCCTAAAAGACAATATTGTCATAGGGGCTGACTTTTTATACCATCTACAGAAGATTTACAGAACACTGACCTGTGAAAAGACTGCACAAATGTTACATACGAATGCTTTCTGGACAGATAAGGAGGCGTATTACTAAGCTTGAAATTAATAATTTTAAAACGAACTGCAAAAATACATCGGGTTAACAGAGAAATTGAAATTGATATGCTGAATAATTTTATTTTCAATGTTATTTAATTTTAAATCAAATTCATCTCTTTCTTTGTTATTTTCCATTTTACCAATCCCAGAACTTGGCATCATTAAGAGATGAGGAATATTTATGGCATTAACTGTGAACAGTTTTCATATTTGCAAGAAAATAAAAAGTGCCTTGTAAGGTTAAAGAGGATAGATTTTATTATTATTATTATTCTCTCTGCAGCTTCTTTTACTAATTCAATTGCACTAAACATTTTGATCAAAAAAAGAAACAAAGAGATAAAAGAATAATAACTTTGATATGTGAAAAAACTTTCCTTTATGTTTGTGTGCAAACGTGATGTCAGAATGTAGCTTCTTATATTGTCTCTCTGAAGGTATTCAAAGTCTAAATTTGAAAGAATGTTTCCTGCTGAGATGTAGCGTAATGAGCAGATTCTGCCACTAGGTGGCGACAATGCACTTGTGTTTTTCAGATTGTGTTCTGGATTTCTTATATAATCATTCCTATGTAATATGTGTTCTTTTTTACTCTGTATGTATTTTTGTTTTACTTTCATACTATATAGAAAATATTTGTGCAAACAAATAAACAAATTTATTTGCAATTGGACGTCGGAAGATCATCCAAAAGGATTCAGCTCTTTTGTTTTTATTATTCTTTTGCATATTATAATATACCAATAAACAATTATTGGTAAGAATAAGGAGTCCCTTTTGTCATTAATACACAGATAAGATAAAAAAAAACAAGCACCGTTTGAGGATACTTTATAAAATATTAAAACAAGAAAACATATGTGCACAAACAGTGGCAGGTAGTTTTTACATACACAGAATGTCTATCTTTATCTAAAAAAAAAAAAAAAACGTATCCAATTTTAGCTAAAAAATTTACTTACTATGGTTCATTTGTAAAAAATAAATAGATAAATACAACTATATATATATATATATAAATGTATCTGTTTTGCGTATTTTGATAAAACGACAGAAATCTACTTATATCAGAGTGAATTATAAGACATTTTAATCTGTATTCTATGTGCTTGTTATGAAATTTCATTTTAATAATCTAACAAGGGAGGAAAATACAAATATTACATTTTATAAAACAATAATAAAAGTACAGAAATAATTCAGAAATCCTAGCAAATAAATAAATTAATCGATTCATGTACAGCTTTTTTCCTGTAGAGGGCGCTTCAACACATTCTTGCATTATTGAAACCCAACCGGCAAATATGACGCAGTTGTGGTCATCCTTGGGATATGTAGTTTATGGCTCCTCTGCGTCACTATGGCAGCCATTGTAAACTGTCGTATGTTTGCCTACAGTTCCCAGCGACATGTCCACCGGTACCGGTGTCAAGAGTTCCTGAGCGAATGACAGGTCAAGTCGGATTTTGTATCGGAGGCAGCTCATCATCTTTCACCCCCAGACTTTTTTTTTTAAGTAAGTAACACGAGCGGAGCTAACTGATATCTGTCCTGTACTCTACGGTTTGTGGGTTTGAACTTCCGGTATCATCCTGTGATGTTGTAACTGGATAGTTTCGAAACAGTTGCCGTATTTAAACTCCGTATCGCCTCGTTTTGGCTTGACTTTGTGTTGAAACTGTGTGAGTGGATTAACGGTTAGGTAAATATTAATAACCTGACTGTATTCAGGACTTGACGGCCAAACCGGGTAATGTAAATATTTAAAGACAGACTCTTGCGCCCCCTACCGTTGACTTATCGACATAAAGGTATAAAACTGCTCTGACTTTGAGTCACAGAAGTTATACTGCCTTGGAAATCTCTTTACAGAAGCTGCTGTTTTTATTTTGAACTTTATTTTTTCAGGAAATAAACAAGGTAAGTCACTTTTTTCTTTTAAAGTTTAAATATAGATGTCTTTGTGTTAAATTTAACATATTTCCAATAGAAGTTATTTTTCTTGTGAAAAACTGGCTAAATGGTTAAAATTGTCTGGACCTGCGCAGTAATGTATAGTACTAATTTCAAGTGTTTTAAGTACTTTAGAAAAGTCTTTCAGACCCAGCTTTCTTTGCAATGGTAGCTTTTCTCTAATGATTTGGAGGGGGAAAATAATTTTTCTTTTTTTTATTTATTTATTTATGGTTTAAATCTGCTGTTTTTCTTCCCTGATCAGTGCAAAGAATAAGAGATGGAAGATAATCTTGTAACTGCTTTGAGGTTCAATTCAATATTATGACTTAATGCTTAGAAAAAAAAAATCATATATTTTTGCATTTAGGAAAAGTGGAAATCTTTGAGTCATTGAAAACCTAAGCAATGCATTTGTTGTTATGCGCAGATGACACAGTGGAAACAGTCATCCTTCAACCAGAAAGTTGGTTTTATTCCAGTTTCCTCCTGTCAAGCTGCTCACTGATCTATTTTATTTAATTATCAAATTTTAATTTAAATAATCTATCTTTATTACCTTAACTTGCAGCAGTTGCATTCAACTGATCTGAATAACATCCTTTAGGTTTTCATGCTTTCTACAATTGGGAATGGTAGAAATGTTTTTCCTCTAACAGGTTTGGTCTGTCAGGAACAGTCCCTGCACTGTAGGGGCCTTTTATAGACTAAACATGAAGTGTCCCATTTACACCCTATGGGAAAGATAGCAGTACTGTTGTTTTGCTCAGAGTCTGTAATGTTACAAACTTCAATGTATTTTATTATAATTTGACTGAACAAAAAAACTAACTTGTCTTTGTATTTGTGTATTTTTAATCATTAAATTTAATAGTTACAAAAATTTTCTTTTTTATATAGTCCGTTCTTATTTTTTGTGTTCTATTATTATATTTTATAGTCCTTTGTGTTCCAGTGTGCTTTTATTGTCTGCTTGCTTTTCCAATGAATCTCCAAAATGTCTCCACTGGTACAATAAAGGGTATTTCTATCTTATTCTATTCCTATTCTATTAGTCACAAAGTACAAAGCTTTAAAGCCGCCTGAGCCAGTCTCACAGAGCTCTATAAAAAGCTTCTCTGGATCATCTTTGCAGAACATATCTGCCTCATCTATGAGGACATAAAGATCAGACATGAGATGGTTTAATTACTAACTCACCTTAACTGTGCATTTTTGTTTCTCCTCCTCTATTTGCTTCTCTGGAAGTTCAATTTGGAAGCTTTTTGAGGTTCAGGAGAAATCGTTTTCCCACTTCAGAGGCATATTTTTAAAACACCAGGGAACTTTATTCTAAATAAAAAAACAGAAAATAATCTGAAACTGAAGCAGGTTCCAGTCTAAAGGGATTAGAGCTAATGGGAGTGAATGTAGAACATGAGGTTTAATTTCTCTGGAAGCATAAACAGACACAAGCCGACACACGCTGGAAGATATAGAGAAATGAGGCACAGTTAAACACAATAGGAAGGAAAGCAAAGGTTTTATATTAGTGGAAGGTTTTCTGCACAGATGTGGACTTTGTTCACTGTGACTTCTAAAGGCAACTGATTGTACTGGATTTTTATTAATCTTTATCAGACCAAAGATAAATATAAATCCATATATTTCAAATGCTGTTTTATTGCCTTAATAATTTGTATCATAGTTTTTCACCTTTGCGATTCACCTCTGTTGTTTCTGCAGCTCAGCAATGAGGAACTTTTTGACCAAAGCGGGCCTGTTAGGCTCGGTCTCAGTTGCCCTGGGCTCCATGTGGTGGTCACAGCAGAAGACAGAATCAGACACTTGCTCTTCAGATGCAGCCGCTGCTAGCCCTGCCTCTCTGTACGAACTCAAACTGGTCCAGGTCTTGTTCCGCCATGGCGCTCGGACGCCTCTTAAGTCCATGCCTGATGTGTTAGAGGTATCCCTCTGCTGGTTTCTTCGCATCCATCTGGTCTATTAGTTACATGCTAACACTATGTGTTTCTGTCTGAACATAAAGGCTCAGTGGGATCCTATGCTCCTGGAGGCTCCGCCACACACACACATCAACTACACAGTGACTGACCTTAAGGGCGGACCTCGTCCACCGGCTCCTGTAGAGGACAGTTATCGGAGGAACACACTGAGTGTGAGTAGGTTATCTTTACACGAGGATAAGGAACCAACTGGTTTTAGCTTCTTACTGCAGCTGCTTTACAAAATCAGGCTTTACAAATATGCTTCTTTCTGAGGTTATAAACATGCTGAAAGTCAGAAGACTTAAAGGGATACAATTTTTATGATGGACATAAAGTGAGAAAGGCAAAACCTTAGCCTTAGTTTTTTTATCATCAATATTCCTTTTGTTGGGCTTCAGTAACTTATTAAAGCAACAGCATTCCTTTCCAGGGAAATTTACAGGAAATGAAACAGCAAAGTTTTGTACTATTTTTTTTATTTTTTATGCATGTGGCTCTGCTTAACGATCGAAACAGGAAACAAGCTGTAGGAATAAAATAGAGGCACCTGTACTTCCTGGACGGAGCGAAGTTTGAAGTTTTCTGCTGCAAAAAATTAGTTTAAATGAAATAAGATGAGGAAATGTTTGAGAGAAAGGCTTGTATCTGTAGAACATCTTTAATGACGTCCCTGCAGGTCATTAAAGACCTTCATCGTCGTCAGAGGTGAAGCTGCTTTACAGAAGCAGTTTACAAAACACCAAATACAACACTCTATATAAGATTACAGACTCAATTAATTTATAGAATTGTTAGCTCAAGGAAAAACAGCTTACAGCAGATGGGTTATATTGAGTGTTTTTATGTATGGGTAATATTTAACTTATTATACCCAACGATACAGTAATAAAGTTGCCGTCTGCCTTTTCAGATTTTATGTGCCTTTGTGCAATAAAGAAGTGTTGGTTTCTGTTACACTTTTAAATAAATGCATTATGTTACTTTTTAATGCTCCCTCTAGTGGTAAAACTAAACCCTGCTCAAATAACTAGCTATGCCCATTCATTGATTTAGTCACTGTTTAGGGTTATGTGCATTAATATCCTACAACCTTTAATCCTTGCAATGCCAGGAACACATTATTACCTCCAACCATTATTTGACATTAACACAATATAAACTATATAAAGCTATTAAATGAACATTTGTTTAGACAGAGACGAGCCTTTTGAAAGCCCATTTCTTATAAAATTCTGATGCAGATGGTGAAAATTCTTTACCGTATCTGGAATATGATGGTATTCTAGTTTGGTTTAATGCACTGGGCAAAAGGATGAAACAGTGGGATTCATTGATTCATCATTTTTAAATATCTGTCAGTTGATGTAATAATTAAAGAATTAGTAACAAGGGAATACAGCCGCTAAAATATGCCGTTTGCTTAAAGAAAAACCCACTCTGTAGAATAATTAAACCAAACTAGAAAATTTCTAAAGAAATTTTGAGGGGGGCCACCTACTGCCCGTCTGGGTAACCGGGCCAATATGGCCCTGGCAAGTGACATTGGGGCTCCCCAGACCAACTGCTTACGCCTTTGAGGGCTGCTGAGGGAAGGAAAGAGGGCTAGGTCATGGACAAAGAGAGCTGTGTGCCACTTGTGCTGAAATCTGGGAAATAGACATGCACAGCATATGATGCACAAGGGTAATATGGGTTGTCCACATTGAACCGCAGTGGGTAAAGCGCAGTTGGCGGGCTCAGCCCGCCTGCTAGGAGCCCTTGCAGCGATGAAAAAAATCACCAATGGCGGGCTCTGCCCGCCTGCTAAGAGCCATTGCAGTGATGAAATCACCATTGGCGGGCTCCGCCCGCCTGCTAAGAGCCATTGCAGTGATGAAATCCCCATTGGCGGGCTTCGCCCGCCTTCTAAGAGCCATTGCAGTGATGAAATCACCAATGGCGGGCTCCGCCCGCATGCTCAG